ATTTTTTATCCTGCTTTTAAGGCCCAATTCAATCTCGATTTTTGCAATTCATATCCCACTTCGCCTTTTTTACTAAGCTTCCTATTTACTTCATCATTGACATTCCCAATTCGTATTTATTTTGAACTTCCAGCTTTCTAAAAGAAATCTCTTTTTCCGCCAAGTTTTAAAAGTTACGCCCCTAAGAATGGTAAACGCTGGCTTCAGGCTGGCCCTTTGAAGCTTGCGGACTTCCACATTTAATTTGAAATACTCCACATTCCAAATCCTCAATTGCTCTGTTTTAGGTGTAGGTAATCTTTAGCTTTAACCCATTAGTTTGAATCCAGCCCATCCCAAACCACCTTGTGAACCAATCTCAAAACCTTTTTTAATTTCTTTGGTTAAAACTGGATGTAGCACCTAAGTATTCAAAAATTTGAATGGCTTGGACCTCTAATCTCTTATTCTTCCTTCAATAAAGAGTTGGCACTCGATCAGACAACGTTCTGGAAGGCGCCATAACTTTAAAGCGTAAACCATTCAAACTACTCCAGATTTTAAAAAGAAATCTATTAATTCTACTCCAACATATCCTGACTCGAATGTTACTCCAGTATATTTCTCCCAAACTAATGAAGATTATTCAAAACTCATTGAACTTCCTACATTCCCTCTGGCTATCACTTCCACAGCGTGATCCTTTCCTTTCCCATATACTGCTTGAATTCATTGAAATCCCCCCCCCAAACAACCGACGGTTGGTGGAAAGGAGAACTTTCAAATTAAGCTAGGAGCCAACCCAAAGATGACTGTCGATCTCTACGTTATCATTAGGGGCACGAGACATTGGCCTATGACACAATTCAAGCCTATGGGGAAAACCAAAAACCTGATAGCAAAATGAAGTTCCTAGAAACCCCGCAACCGATCCTTTAAGCGAAAAAAACATCCAGGCCTTCACACAAGCACAACAACCCCCCTGCACTATCCTACTTCCTGCGTCAACCCGCCGCTATCCTATAGCCCAAATCATCTTTGGCCAAAGAGATCTAACCAAAAGTCAGATCAAAGCTTGACTTCTTTCGTTTCCCTTGACAATTAAAACCATATCCACCCCTTTTTTTCCTTTATTAAAATTTTTGGACTCCTTTTTCTTCCAAGCTTACCCCAAGCTTCTAACATTCCCATAAGAGCAGCTTTCATTGTAAAAAACTGCCGATCCGACTCCTTAAATCTCTTCAGTAAGTGCAAAACTAAGCACCACCAGTATTCCCCTTTTTGGCTATCTTCCTCATCTTGATGCTCCATTCTCCATGATTTGCAAAAATAACCACTTTCGTTCATTATACGCCCAAAATCAAAACCCCCGATTCTAAAACAGGTTGCTTTTGAGATTCATTTCGGCTCAAAAATCTTATGTCTATACGGACCCACTGCTGAACTAACATGGAAGAAGAATCGCCAGAAGCGACGCTCTAAATTATTTGGCTCCTCTCTTGAAATCCTTTGCAAAACTGTGCATTGTCTTCTTAAGATTTCTTTTTTCTTCTTCGAAACGTTGAACCCCTTTCGTTTTACTGGTAGAAGCTTGGGTCAACTTTATGCCTTTTTCTCTTCTCCGCCAAAAATAGTTTTGCTCCCTATGTTGAAACTAAACCAGGAGGCCACATAACCATTATTCTCTTCCCCCAAGTATCTCTGTTTTTTGACGTGGTAAATGCTTAGAAACTGGACCATATTATAAACCATCCATAACCTCTTACCTTTATCAGATCCAATAAGAATTTGCTGGTCAAAACCTGGTTGTCATGGGCTTCAAAAAAGAACATTTGATTGGGCTTCCACCTAGGGTTAATAGAGACACTAAAAGCAAGTGGGACGGGTTCTCCACATTCTGTCTCTCCAAACCCGACTTCCCGAACCATCACGAAGCCCTTCATATTGGGCCTGACTTAAAACACCTCAAGTTAATAGTAGGCCTAGCAATTCCATTGATCACTAAGTGCTTCTCATCAAGCCGAAAGCGCCCCAAGATTTCTCAACAACTCTACCAAGTTTCCCCACTACTTTGACTCTCTACTGATTTGCTTTGCGTTGGCATGCTTGTCTTGGAACCAGAAGGGTCGGACAGCCGCAACTGGGATTTCCAAGGTCCTAGCCCGTTTCCTCTTACCCAATTGACGGTGAGTGAAAGAGAATTACATGCTATCATCATGCATTAACCGTTCTTTCTCCATTGTAACCCCATTTGATTCTCTGCCACCTCACCTGAACGGCCCCAAGTCATTCATTACGAACAACCCTTGTACAGAGCATTATCTTCTTCTTGCCTCAACTGTACTTGAATACAGAGCTTCTGATAACTCTCTCATGGCTACCATGTTCACTCCATGACTTACCTCCAATTTACAACCTCTTCAGAGTGATACCCATGGCCTGCTGTATGCGATATGGCATACACCTCCACGCACTCTTTATTGGATACGAGATTTGCCCCTTGCTCTCCATTCGGGGATAAACATGTATATCTATTACGTTATCCATCTTGTGATGTAATAATCTACCTACCACATTTCCCAGTGATTCCATACTGTAACGTTTCATCATTGGAATGCCTTACCACTTCACCCCACAATCTCTCTAATCTTTGTAAAGTTTCTTATGTGTTCCACAGATTTGGGACGGAACTCCATAACAAAACAAACCATATCAATCTTTCACCTTCTCGACTTATCAGTCCATCTCTCCCATTCCGCAGCCAATTCGACACCAGGTCCCTCAATCCATTTGTTTAATAATACTGCTTCTGTTCCTCATAGCTTGAACTGATGAAAAGTTACAAATGCCATTCTACCCCCACCTTCCTCCAATATTTTTTTAAGCCGCCGTACGTTCTTGTAGAATCCTCCTTAAAATCTCTGAAAGAGAAAATGGGTTTTCAACTATGACACCAGGCTGTTGAATAGCCTCCCATTTCCCATTAATTCTTCTGTAAGCAAATCTCAAGTCTCTGTCCTTGTTTAGTTGCTATCACCTTCACCACCACTCAGCATACGTACTCTTCCTCCCTTTTTTATTCCCCCAAACTGCTTCTCTGGTTGACCTTTGAGGAGTTCATATGTTGCTTTGGACCAGTTCACCTTACCCAAAATCAGCTTTCTTTACTTTTCAGAATTTATTATCACGCCAAACACCATTTTGTTTTCTGTATTGCGACTCCGTCAGAAAAACCTAGCTATCACGATCATCATAACCACCACAGGTACCTGCTACTAGGGGCAATCAAACCTTACAAATCGCAAATCGTTGATCTGCTGTTATTGTCGCGTGCGGTTCTTCTTTGTTGGAAATATGAACACATCATCTCACTACCCCAAATTTAGAGAAAAGATGAGAACAGACCTTTCGGACTCATTGCTTCAGGTAAGATCATCCCACAAAACACTGTATAATACGAGAATTTACTCCAAATAACTCGACCTCTTTTCACCCTGCAAACACCGATTGGCCAACCTCCTTTGTTAACTGTCCGCAGACCTTCTCCTGTCACCATCCGATTAAACCATTTGCATTTATTTATTAGTCACGTAAGTTTTTGTTCCGGGATATTTCTAAGAATTAGTGGATGATGAGTTGTCCACCGTCTTTTTCACGCACCTGCCACTTACCAAACAACATTGCAAAAATTTATATTCTGTTTGTTTTATTACTAAAATTTATTTATAAATATATTTAATATAAACAGAAAAATACATACAACATATTAACAAACACACCCTAAATAATATTGGATTTCTATGAGTATACACAAATATAGAGATATATAATATTAATCCCTCTATTATTTTTGAAAGACGTATGCAATAAGAGATTGATCCCAGGCAACTTCTAATTGTCCCCCTTATGTCTGAGTTGAATGACGCTCGGTTAAAACGAATACTATAGACATACAATACCTGAGCACAACACACGTCAGTGCGTCACCTCACAACACACATATCAGTCGAGCCTCTCCCACTGACCTTCACGTATTGCCACCGTTCTCCGGCCCCCAAGATCGCACCTTGCCACTAATCAATCATTTCCTATCCAATTTTTACACCACTCAGCTATACCCGTAATTCCTATTTCATGGTCCAACCCACCCACCCGCCACTGCCAACACTCCTATACACTTGTTACCATACCTCGCCCACACTCAAGAAGTACACCTCTTAATAATAAACCAAAAGACTATTACACCCATCCAACTACAAAGGATAATAAATCACAAATCCAACAATCCATCTCGTCCACTCGATCACCTATATAATGTCAACGTCTCAAAGTCCCACCCTGTCTTCTATCTAAACCACACTTACTCTTATCCACCGTTTGGCGGAACCACCGTCTTTCCCGCCACTTGCACCACTGTGTCACTGTTGGGCATTGTTTTTTGTGATGAGTTTTGTAAAAAAGTTGTTTTAGAGTGATGTGTTGCTAAGCATATATAACTGAAAACAAAAACATTACCCAAACAACACCCTAAATAAAAATTTATGTGTTTCATTGTTATAAAAATTGGAGATAAAGAGTTAACCCCCAGGATGTAAGCTTGGAGTAGTTGAATCCAGGCAACTTTGTCCCATGCGGCTTGGGTACGCTGCGTTCGATCTGTCGGACGATAACATCCCTGAGCACCAACACACGTCGTGCTCCTTCCTCAGGCCCTTTTGCGAGCCCCACCACACCTTCACTAGTCCACCGTCTCCCGGCCCACCTGCCACCGTCACCACAACCACACAGCTAGTCCGCATCCACATGCCACCACACCCGCCACGCCACCGCCACCGCCACCGCACCGCCACCGCACACCACCCACTCGCTGACCACCCACCACGCGCCACCGTCACCCACCCACCTTCCACCCGTCACAACCACCAGCACCCGAACCACGGCGCACTTTCCACCACCGTCTTTCGCCGCCACTTGCCACCACTTGCCATTTTTCATTTTTTTTTTATATTTTTAAAATTTTTTAAATATTTTGTAAATATAAACTGAAAACATAAACATTACCAAACACACCCTAAATAATTTATTGTGTTTCATTGTATAAAAATTAGAGATAAAGAGTTACCCCCCAGATGTGAAGCTTGGAGTAGTTGATCCCAGGCGAACTTTGTCCCATTGTCGGTTGGGTACGCTGGTTCGATCTGTCGGACTATACATCCCTGAGCCACCAACACACGTCGGTGCTCCTTCCTCAGGCCCTTTGCGAGCCCCACCACGACCTTCACGTAGTCACCGTCTCCGGCCCACCTGCCACCGTCACCAACCACCAGCTACCCACCACTCACCATCACCACTTTCCACCACCGTCTTTCGCCGCCACTTGCCACCACTTGCCATTTTTCACTTTTTTTTATATTTTTAAATTTTTTTAAATATTTTGTAAATATAAACTGAAAACATAAATATTACCAAACACACCCTAAATAATTTATTGTGTTTCATTGTATAAAAATTAGAGATAAAGAGTTACCCCCCAGATGTGAAGCTTGGAGTAGTTGATCCCAGGCGAACTTTGTCCCATTGTCGGTTGGGTACGCTGGTTCGATCTGTCGGACTATGCGAGCCCCACCACGACCTTCACGTAGTCACCGTCTCCGGCTAAGAACGTCAGGTATGCCCTCCTAGACTGACTCGCTGCTGTGGACTTGGAGGTGGCTGGCTGTGCCACTAAACACGACCAGGACCCATTTGAGAAAACAAAGAAAAAGACAATCTTTAGAGAGAGAGCGAGGAATCGAAAGGGTTTCATATGAGGAAATTTTAGGACTTGCAGGACTTTGAGCTGAGAATGAATTTGTTTATATCAAGCCTTCAAAATCTCTTTGCACTAATCATGATTTTTGAACTCTACCTTGATCTTTCAACAAAAAAAGTGTTGCGTATATTTACACAAACATGTTACTGAATGTACATCACGAACATCAATACTAGTTTTATAAGAAGGTTGAACTCAAAAAACAATAATGTGAGGAAAGTTATTAAACTTTACGTGACATGTGTATCAATTAAAGATATTGCACTAGTTTTCAAACCTTTTGGGAAAAACCATCACCTCAGTTTATAATGTAAGGGGAAAAAAAACCAAACATCGTTTAGTTTTTTCACCCTAGGCGGCAAAAAGCTTAATATCAGATATTCAATATCTTCCTTCTTTAGGATTAGGGTTTTCAAATCAAAGTCCCAATATCAAAGCTATCTTGAGTGGCTACAAATATTAAAAATATTAATTTTGGCTGAGAACAAAACTTAATATCATATATTCATTCTTAGGGTTAGGGTTTGAAATCAAAGCCCCAATTGTTCAACTATCTTAGGTGGCTGTAAATGAAGCTTAGAGTTAAAAACAAACCTGACCGATGGGAGCTATGGCGGAAGAGACCAATTTGAAGCCGTACTTGTCGAGGATGTCTCCAATTTCAAGCTCGTTCTGGTCCTCCTCGCAAACCCGACTTGAATACGTCGATCGGGCCTTTGCCTCGCCGATAGAGGTGGACCTTGACCTGGGAGGGTTTGGTAATAGCGGCAAAGACTCGTCACCGTGGTGCTTCGATCATAGGCTTAACTAACTATAATTTTATTGAAAACATTTTTGAAAAAAGTGTGCTCCAAAAATTTGTATCTGCAAATTCTAAAAATGATGGGCGAACAGTTTGCTAGTGGTAGTGGTGGTGGAGACATCGTAGGGTGGTGGTAATGGTGATGGTCACGTGAAAGCTCAATTCCTAGCCTTAGAGCTAAATCTAAGGCCACCACCTTAGCTATTCTAGTAGCTCTTTTGATTTAGCGTAGAGAGGGTGGAAGTTCTATAGGATAATAGCTTTGGACTATTTTGGAGTTACATAGGAAGAGATAGCAGCGACTGGCTACTAGCTCTGCCTTTGCTATTAGCTCTTGCTAGGTCTTTAGGTGCTATAGCTTTAGGAGAAGAGCAACTATCTTGCAAGAATTGTGGATCCTTGATATTTGTTGGGTGGTGGTAATGGTGATGATCATGGTGGTGGCGAGGTTAGTCTAAAGCTATAGCTCCTAAAGTACTAGCAAGAGCTAATAGCAAAAGCAAAGCTAGTAGCCAGCCGCTGATATCTTTTCCTATATAGCATAGCTTCCAAATAGCCCAAAGCTATTATACTATAGAGCTTCCACCCTCCCTGTGCTAAATCAAAGGAGCTACAGAACAACTAAGGTGGTAGCCTTAGATTTAGCTCTAGTAGCTAGGAATTGTGCTTTTAAGATTTGCACAACCACTAAAACGATCACCATTACCACCACCCTACACTGTCTCCACCACCATTATCACTAGCACACCGTTAGCTCATCATTTTTAGAGTTTGCAGATACAAATTTTTGAAACACATTTTCTCGAAAATCATTTTCAGTAAAACAAATGGACCATAAAGTTATCGTTAGTTAAACTTGCAATTAGTTATCGTCACCATTTTGTAATTGGTATATTGCATAATACTTTGGTTAATAATTTCGATTTTTTTTTTTTGGATATTATTGATTAATGATTGAATTATTCAGGTGAGAATGAATGAGAAGTATGCAACACCATACACAACATTAACACTAATATGTTTAACGGCGAATGTTCAATGTGGGATTATCGGTTTCTGTGTCAATCATAATATTTCTGCTTGGTCGTTGACACTCGAGATCTGAGCCCTTTCAAGTATTTATGGGGTATGTATTGTCTGAACTTTAAAGTTTTTAATCGTTATATTTATTTATATTGTCTAGTATCAAAGTAAAATGTACAATTTATATGAAGATGTGACGTTGATTGAGACAGTCACTAATAATACTAATAAAACCTTAAAATTGTGTATTTTTGGGAATTGTGTGTACAATCTACTTTGAATTAACAACTATAGCACTTTCAAAATAGATTGATCAGTCTTTTATGTGGTTTTTTATCAGTGTTCTAGGGTCTGGCTTGATTGTTATGGCGCTGTATGCTGTTCTTTGGGGAAAGAACAAAGAAATGAATGCAAAGAACAATGTTGAGGAGGATAGAGAAGAAGAGAAGCAAGAGGTAGTGAAAAGTGACTTGGAAATGCAGTTTTGTTGGCAATCACAATCTTCATACAATCAGAAGTTAAGCAAAGAAATAGTGGCAATGGAAATTAGGTTTCCCTTGTTCATATGATCATCTTTGGATGGGCAGAGCTAGCTAGCTAGTCTTTTTCTCTTATACAAAAGTTTTTTCCAGAAAGAAAACTTTTATTGCTCTCTTGCTGTTTTTGGCAGCTTTGATAGGGCATGGAGTCATGGAGCTAGCAATGAAATAAGTAGTTTATATAACTCCAAAAAAATAAAATAAAATGTTGCATTATATATTAGGAGGAAAACCCACATGGTTTGGTAACATAAGAGAAATAAATGGAACTATTATGCCAAGTTAATTTTGTTTTTAATCAGATCTTCCTTCATCATTTCTATGACAGTATTTGGATTTTGAATTTGTGGAGAGATTTGTAGCAACAAAAGAAAAAATATTGAAAAAGTGATAAAATAAATATCTTATATTGAAGAGTGATAAAATAAAGAACTTGATTATTTATTTTATGGTTATCCTGTGCATTTGATCCCCACATAAATTACTTTGAAATAAATAAATTGAACTCTATTTTTACAAAAGAAGGGTTGGGTTGGCTTGGATAAATGTTTTGAGGACTTGCCCAAAAATGTAACACAAAAAGATCTGGAAGAAAATGGGCAGCATCATCCTTGGCCTTGTTTTTCTGTAGTTATAAGGTGTAAAAAATATTAATATAACAATTAATGCATGAAAAAAAAAGCTAATCATTGTTCTATGATAGTATTAGACTATTATGGGTTTAAAATTACAAATAATAATAGAAGTATCAGGTTAATACTGAACAAACATTTTATATACGTAGCCAAGCACAACTTATTACAAAAAAAATGTGTATATATATAATTGTTAAAATTTCATAAGGTAAGATGTAGATATGATACAGGGCCTGCTAGCAACACCTATGACCTTATGGTTTTGATCATTTTTTTGTCTTCAGTTTTTAGTGAATATTAATCATAAATTTAAAATTCTAAATATTTTTGGTAGTTTTTTTTTTCCCCCTTTAAATTTGTAGTATTGTTGCAATTGCTAGTAAGCCTATGTTATAATTCTCATCGGCTACAAATCTCATATATATATATATATATAATAAAATAGGTCATGCTATATGTATTTTACTACGTTTTTTGTAATAAATGTTACTTAATTTTGTAATACAGTTATGAAAAATTGTATTTTAGAAATAAAATTATACATTTTTTTGGTAATATTACACATTTTTGTGGTAATGTTGTATATATATTTTTTATTAAAATAAGAAATTTCTTTTATACCTGTCCAAGAAATATGCCAAGGGGGCTACAACAATGGTGGCAAAGACTTGCCGGTAAGCCACGTGGACGAAAGCGTTCCCATGGCAAGTTTCGACAGAATGTTCATCCCTGCATAGCCCACTTGTACAATCACGATGATCCCTGCATAGCGCACTTGTACAATCAACAGTGGCAACAAATCACCCTCCATTTTTCTTCTTCTTAATAATATTTTCTTGAGTAATGATTCATCCCCCTTTTCTCCCCACCCCCTTTGACCCCCTCTCTCTCTCATTGGTTACTTTTTCTTTTTCTTTTTCTTTTTTTTCCTGCTCCTCCAATCACTACCTGCCACGTGGCAAAGGGGGGGTGAGGGGGTGACCCCCAAAAGGGGGTCCCAAGCATTATTCTATTTTCTTTCAATTACTTATTTGGAGAGAGAGAGAGAGAGAGAGAGAGAGATAAAGATAGAGGGGGTATATATAGAGAGAGAGAGAGAGAAAGAAAATGAATACAGGTAGGTATAGAGAGAGGAAGATGGTGAATTTTTTTTTTTTGACTAATTTGTTTACCTTTTTTCTGAGTGATTAATAGAAATGCTCTTCCATTTCGGGAAATCACTGATTGCTCAATTAGTTGTCTAGATCTTTTGACATTGTTGCAAAATTTTCATATCGTGGAATTAAAATCGGGATTAGTAATATACTTAGAAGTAGAAAGTCTCCAGCAAAAGAAATTAAACTCTAATGTTGTGTTTGGTTGGGGGATTTGAGAAAGAATTTGGAAAAGGAAAAGAAAAAGGTAGGTGAAATGTGAATACAATATACCTATATTTTACCTAGTTTCACACACATTTTCATTTTCATTTTCTAAATCTCTTCTCAAATCTCCCAAGCAAACACATCATAAGAGTGTGATTCTCAATATCATCCAACTAAACCCTAAGAGTAGATGATTAATAATATCATGAGACTATGAATAACAAATGCAAAAGGAGAAAGTGTCCAGAAAAGAAACTACAAATTTACTCAAAATTTTAAATCAATGGTGTATATTTAATCTTATTATTGTGAGATCACACCATAAATGAATCTTGACCTTTGATTAGAAATTGTGGATAGGATACAAGAAATTTAGATCATCCCAATTAGGTGGATTAAAGTTAAGCTGAATTGAGATGATATTTAACTAAACTTTGTTGAAATTTTTTTGTCAACGTGACATAATTTTATTTGAGTGAACAATTTTAAAACTTGACATAATTTAAAGCTTGTATCAACTATTGTGCTATTGATAAAATTTGACACAATAGACCTAGAAATTCATTACACTAATATGCAATTTGTGTCACACTTATAATAATACTATTTATCGTGCCAAATTTAATATCATAGAAGCATCATATCAAATTTCAACACTGTGAATCTCTGAGCATTGAATTTTGTAAATTTATTATATTATCCTCCAAAAATGTCACTGTCATTTTTAAAAAAAATATATAAATTCAATAAAACTAAGAAACTAATAAAAGGAAATGTGGAGAAGTGGTTTGGAAATACTCTCGGATCCGGAAGGACGTTCTTGATCCTCTGATTGCCACTTGAAAAAAGAATTAACACTCCGGTCGGGGGTGTTGGAATTAGCACTTCGACGGACAAGTTAGTATATGTCTCACGTTTGCTTGTCTTAAGTTTCTTGGGATTTTTTCTCACGTTTGCTTATGTCTTAAGTTTCTTGGGGTTTTCACTCACGTACCTTTCTTTGGTTGATGTTTCTCTGTTTATATTCGCTTTTGGGCCTCAGGGTCGAGCCGACTCTTAATTCATCATGTGATTGTTCACTCGGCCTCTTCTGTCGTATGCCAATTCCCATTCGGCTCCTTGTTAGTTGGTTCTATGGCCGATTAGGATATTCGGTGTCTGGATCGTATAGGACGGAGCCGAATATAATATATACCCTGATTTTCTAAGTGTGTACTCGGCCTCTCTGCATCCACCGATATTCGGCTCCAAAAATTGCCCCCCAAGCATCCCACTAACATCAGTTAGTCAGCGTGTTTGGTTTCGAACTTGAAAAGTCAAAATAAAAATTCGGCAGTTAACTTCATTCCAACGCAAGTGTCAGAACACATATGC